GCAGGCTCAGGACGCATTTGCCGGAACCTTCGCCCCACCCGTTCAGGCCACGAATCATACGTTAGCAGTGCCACGCAGCACGTCGCCTGCACCAGTATCACGCGGGAAATCCGAGGGATCTCCACGCGGTGGTACCTCCCAGTTCGACGTGAACCCCAGCTCCATGCTGGTGGACAAGATGACCAAGTGGGGGCTGTCCTTCGATGGCACCTCGGACCCGCTCAGCTTCGTGGAACTAATCGAGGAACGGGCAGACACGTACCGGATCGATAGGAAGTATTTATCCAACGCCATCGTCGTGCTTCTATCCGGCAGAGCGGAGAGCTGGTTTCGCACCAGTGGCCTGCAGGTAGGAACCTGGGCACAAGTGCGCCGAGAGTTCTTGGATTTCTTTCTACCGCCTAGGTACTATCAACGCCTTGACGACGAAATCCGAGCCCACTACCAGAAGCCGAACGAGCCGTTTAAGCAATACCTCGTCGATCTTCGTCTGAAGATGCGCCGCGCAGGGTTCTCACCCGAGCAAGAGCTTGAGCGGATATATGAGAACATGCTGCCAGAATACCAGATGTTTACGCGCCGCCAGGACTTCAGGACCTTAACCGAGCTCACCCACCTGGTGGTGAACTTTGAAGTCGCCAGGAGTCGAGGAGAGCGAACCACTCGGAGATACCCACCGAATCGACAGGACGCAGAGGGTCTATTCAGTACCCAGGCCCAGCAAGCCCGAGAGAACGCGACCTACGCACGCACCACGCCGCCGATGCCACGTCCTCGAAATGCCTTCAACGACGCTGCTACCCGAACCCGAACGGGAAGCCAGGACCAGGAAGGCCAAACACCAGGGGAACCAATCGATGTGAGAACCACCTGTCGAAACTGCGGCCAGGCCGGTCACTACGCCACGGAATGCCGGAGCCCTAGGATTATCTTCTGCTGGGACTGCGGCCGACCAGGTGTCAGGACCATCGACTGCTGTCGAAACCAAGCGCCGGGAAACGGGCAAGGGCCTCGAGTATCCGGGAGTCACTCGAGGAACCCACCGACCTCCCCGAGCCAGTAAACAACGCCATCATCCAAGACCACAGCCGTATTCGCGCCCAAGTCACCATGGAGGGACGACCCTTCACCGCGACGTTGGATACGGGAGCCTCCCATAGCTTCATAAGCAGGCGCCTGGCACAAGAGCTGGACGAAGGGAGGAACCACCGCGCGGTACGGACACAAGTAAAATTAGCAGACGGAACCGATAGGGAGCTCACGCATGCTCTACGAACCACGATCCAGCTGGGAGAGACCCGCGTCCGCATCTCTGTTCTCATCATGGCAGATGTGCTGGATGGCCTCCTACTCGGCATGGACTTTCTATGCTACAGCGGGGCTACACTACAGTGCGGCGGCCAAACCCTCAAGCTCCAGCCACCCATTCAACCCAGAGCCACGGAGGCCAGCGCAGCACATTACCACGGAGCAACAACATGGATACACACCCCACAGACACCGTCGCCAGAGCACACGCACCCCCGAGCACACGACCCACAGACGCAGAGGAAACGGCAGGAGCCACCGCCAGGGCGTATTCGGAGCCACAGCTCACATCGCCACCCGGGCTACCGCCAGATACACAGCAGCAAGACCCTCCACAAGAACACCACGCCCAGAGACATCGCATGGCTGCACCCACACACGCTCGCCCAGAGGGCACCCAACGCCACGCCCACGCAGACGCGGGCACAGCTCCAAGCTGGGCAGGAATCCTGCCACACCCCGACGCATCGGCTGTCAGCCGGAACCCCTTTCGCCAAACGGGCAAGAGAGTTCGGTTCCGGGCACCAGAATCATCCACGAGCGAGAGCACACCATCTTGCGGAATGGCCAACGCCAGATGCAGCACCGAGGAGGAACAACGCCCCAGCGGCCAGGACGGGAACTACCCAGAACCCTGGGTGGAAAAGTTCCTAGAACGAGAGCTGGCGCGATTCGATACCCTCGCCGGCGTCTCTCACATCGCCGAGCATAGTATCGTAATGCGCAACGACCGCCCCATTAAACAACGGTACCATCTCAGGAACCCTGCGATGAGAGCCGTCATCGACCGCCAGATTGACGAGCTACTACGCGACGGGCGCATCGAGCCCTCCAGGAGCCCTCACAGTGCTCCGATAGTCATCGCCGCTAAGAAGAATGGAGACGTTAGGATGTGTGTGGACTACAGGCAGCTGAATGAGAACTCCATACCGGACGCCTACCCTTTGCCGAGGATCCATCATATATTGGAGCGGCTTCGGAACGCTCGATATATATCCACGTTGGACCTGAAGAACGGGTACTGGCAGATCCCAGTAGCCCCAGCCAGCCGTGAGTGTACCGCATTCACCGTTCCAGGTCGCGGTTTGTTACACTGGAAAGTGATGCCTTTTGGTCTGCACTCGGCCCCGGCCGAGCCCTGGATACCGTCATTGGCCCGGATATGGAGCCACACGCCTTCGCGTATCTTGACGATATCATCGTGATCGGAGCTACACTCGAGGAGCACGTCCGGAATCTACGCGAGGTGTTCCGCCGACTCAGAGCGGCAAATCTACGGCTGAACCGGGACAAGTGCCAGTTTTTCCAGCGCAGCCTAACGTATTTGGGCCACGTTATCAGCGAGGCCGGAATACAGACCGATCCAGAGAAGGTCGCCGCCATACGGGAGCTGCCGCCGCCAACGAATCTCAAGGAACTTCGCCGATGCCTTGGGATAGCTTCATGGTACCGTCGTTTCGTGCCCAACTTCGCGGACGTAGTCGAACCGATGACAGCTCTACTCAAGAAAGATCGGAAGTGGCAGTGGGCTGAGAAGCAAGAACAAGCCTTCAACGAACTGAAGAAGCTCCTAACTGAGGCTCCAATCTTAGCCTGCCCGGACTTCGAGGCGAAGTTCGTACTGCAAACCGACGCGAGCGAGTATGGTATTGGGGCGGTGCTAACCCAAACCATAGACGAACAGGAACGAGTCGTCGCATACGCCAGACGGCGACTAAACAACGCAGAACGGAACTACTCCGTGACGGAGAAAGAATGTCTCGCCATCGTGTGGCGCATCCGAAAAATGCGTTGCTACATCGAGGGATACCGCTTCGAGGTACTAACTGACCACCATTCACTCAAGTGGTTAAATTCCATCGACAACCCCACGGGCAGGATCGCGCGGTGGGCGCTGGAGCTACAACAGTTCCAGTATGATATCAGCTACCGACGCGGGAACCAGAATCTGGTCGCCGACGCATTGTCACGCCAGCCGCTGGCCACTGTTCAACAGGCGCAGGTGCAGGGCAACGAATGCAAATGGATCCATAAGATGCTACGACGAATTCAACAGGAGCCAGCGAAGTTTCCAGATTTCCGGGAGGAGAACGGTCAGCTGTACCTACGCCCCGAGGAAGAAGACTATACGCCGTGGAAACTCTGCGTGGGAGCCCCATACCGACGAAGGGTGTTGGAGGAGTGCCACGACCATCCAACGGCTGGACACCTGGGCATCCGCAAGACCAGTACGCGGGTGGCCCAGAAATATTACTGGCCAGACCTGTTCCGAGAGGTGGCCCAGTATGTGCGATGATGCCCGAGCTGCCAGAAGTTTAAAGTAAGCCAGGAAAGCCGGCCGGAAAGATGTTTACACGGCAAGTCAACGAGCCATTTCACGTGCTGTGCGCCGACTTCGTGGGACCCCTGCCACGATCCAAGCAAGGGAACACGGTGCTCCTCGTTTTCTTTGATATGTTCAGTAAATGGGTGGAACTCGTCCCCTTACGCCGCGCAACGGTGCCGTACCTCGAGCGAGCATTTCGGGAGCGGATACTCAGCCGGTTTGGGATCCCAAGGACTCTCATTTGCGATAATGGAACGCAATTCACCAGCCGGGCCTTTCAAGCTTTTTGCAATTCCCTGGGAATGGAATTGCAACATACCGCGCCTTACACGCCGCGGCAAATTCCCACGGAGAGGGCAAATCGGACCGTGAAGACTATGATCGCACAATACCTCGGAGACTCGCCGCAGAGTGCCTGGGACCATCTTCTGCCAGAGATCTCTTGGCAATTAACAGCAGCGTATCGGATACTACGGGATTCAGCCCCGCCTTTCTCGTACAGGGCCGGGAACCACGCCTGCCGAACACCCTTTACGACGAAGTCACACCAGGACGGCTCAACTTTCGCCTACGGAGAGGAGTACGCAGCTCCACAGCATCTTCCAGGTCGCCCGGGAAAACGCAGAACGAGCCACAGCAGAGAAAGGAAGGCACTATAACCTGCGCCGACGCGAGTGGAGACCACCACTCGGATCCCTAGTCCTCGTGCGCCGCCATGTTTTGTCAAACGCCGCCGAAGGCTTTGCCGCCAAGTTGGCCTCCAAATACGAGGGGCCATACCGGGTCATCAAGTTCCCCTCTCCGAATATATCACTGCTACAGATTCCGGGGAGCCGCCGCCGACGCACCGCCTGCATTCAGAACCTGAAACCATATCACCAAGACAGCGACAACGACGACGACGAAAACGGCCAGAGCAACGACCCAGCACAGACGGATGGACGCACCAGGCAGGATGATGCCCACGACGACGGCGCCACGGCCAATGAGGACCAGGGTATCGTGGGGGCCACTTGCTGACGGGTGCGCTCGTCCAACGTCCCCACCCCCGCAGGGGGAATCGTACCCTGGCCGCTTTCCTTCGGACCATCTACGCCCGGGACACCACCTGAGACAGGAGAATAGCCTAGGAAGCCACTGGGCGGAATCACCGGATCCAGGGGAAGGAAACTAATACATCTTCTCTACTCTCCACAGCCATCCAGAGTTCATCTACACACGAAGAGAGTTGTCAGATCGCCAGAAAGGGCTAACCGCCGGGCGATAACCACGTCGCACGAGATATCGATTATTCGATACCGCTCCCGCCGTCCGTTAAGCTACAAATGGTAGCGTGGGAGCTTTCAAGCGCACAGAAGTTTCCGAGATGCCACGCAAGGAGCAACGAAACCGCCATCATCCGAAGCAACGATCGCTTCCAGCCCAGCCTGCGCCAACGGCTCCGTCGGACCGCGACCACCCCGAGTCGCCACCACCACTGACGCCCATCCAACGGCGACCTCACACAGCGATGGACGCCCAGAGCGCACCACCGCCGCCGGCAGCCACTGGTCAGCGATCCCGCCCGGCTGCAAAGCCGACCAGTGCTGGGTCACCACCACCGTTGGCCTCAATCCGGCAGCCAATCACCGTCGACGATGACGGGACACCGCCGCTAACCGCAGTGGATCTGCCGATCCAGCCAGCCACGACGATCAGTACGACGCCGCCCGCTATCGTCCTGCTGGAGTCAACGCCGCTGGTGGTCTCCACCGGGCCCCTATCCTCGCCGAGGATCAGCCCGATACCACCGCTCTGGCTCACCCTGAGCCCCTGACCGCCGCTCCCCACGAGGAGTTGATGGCCGCCTTGGCCAACCACGAGCCCCCGGCCGCCTTGGCCAACCACGAGCCCCCAGCCGCCTTGGCCAGCCACGAGCCCCCGGCCGCCTTGGCCAGCCACGAGCCTCCGGCCGCCTCGGCGACTGTCGAGCCGATGGTCGCCCGACATCCGCCCGTAGCCGTTCCCGGAACCCTGGGAGCGGTCTACGAAGACATCTCCGAGGAGGAGATCATAGAGCTAAGCTCCGGCGAAGACGAGGAGCCGGACCCAGCGCAGGACGCCGGGGAGACCACGGACAACCCACGGGACAATCCCAACGGGACCATTGCCCGCCTCATGGGCGCATCGCCGGCCGCGGCAGCAGCCACCGGGACCACCAACGAGACGCCCCTTGGGGACGCGAGAGTCACCGGAATCGCTGCCGGCGGACCGCCTGCCGTCACCCTGGACACCACCCTTGCCAGGCCTGGGGGCAGCAGCCATGGACACCACAGCATCAGTGTCACTACCGGCCAGAACAACTGTATGGCCGCCATCGCTAGCCATGCACCTGACGCCGACACCAACGCCGGTACCGCCGCTAACGCACCTGACATCGCCACCGGCCAGAGGACACCCCCTCGCTCGGGGCCACCTGACGCCCGCGCCACCCTCGGACCACTCTTGGCAGAGCTGTTGGCCTCGCCCGAGGGGCCCACGACATCCGCTGCCGCCAGCCAACGAGCCACAGCCCGAGCCGCCGCCGAGAGATTGCTGCAAGCGGCCCCAACGCGCGTACCTCCGCCGAGGGACGCTGATAGTGTCACCGCTGGCTACACCGTGGCCACCCCCCGGCCGATCCAGCGGGTACGGCCACTGCCCGCCACGGACGAGTACCGCTGGCGTTTTCGCCGCGCCCCTGCAGATCGCGGCCCGGACGCGCCCACCGATGACCGCCCCGGCATCCTACGCAATGCAGACCGTCGACGCCGCGCCCCTTGGCCCGGGGAAGAGCCAAGCTCGGACGAGGAGGCATCGACTGACTCCGAACCCGAACCGGAGAACTGGGTGCGCGCTCCAGCAGGCTGGACAACGCAGGACGGATGGCTCCCCGCCGAGCTCATCGCGCAGGTACAGGCGCGCCTCCAGCAGCCGGTCACCAAATACCTGCGGTTCTTGATTGAAGTGGGCGACTTGAATTACCGCGTCCAAATTTCACGCGGCGGAGACCGCGTCACCATCCTTCCCCATCCCCGAGGTAGGGATGGAGTGTGAGGAGGCCTCACAACCATGTTTTGTAGTATTTAAGATCATTTCCATTTTTGTAATATTTAAGCTCATTTTCTTAGTACGTAAGACCATATACATTTAGTATATCATTTTTCCTAGTACGTAAGAACATCTATATTTAGTATTAAGCATTAGGGCATAAGCGGCCAGAAAACCAAGACCCACGAAGGGCACACTAGTTAGGGATTTAGTAGTAGGGACTAGGTTTAAGAGAAAAACGCGCTCGAGATTTAAGAGAATAACAACGAAGAGACGACGAGCGGCCGAAGAACCACGAACAGCCGAAGAAAACAACGAGCGGCCGAGAGCGGCCGAACATACACACGAGCAGCCGAAGCCGGCAGCCGATCGAGCCGAAGGACGGCCAGCCGAACCGTCTTCGGCAAAACACCCGAAGGCAAGGCCCGATCAGCCGAAGCATGGCGTCGGCACACACGACAGGGCCCGAGCAGCAGATCGGCGACCATGACACCAGCCGAAGCTCACCCGAAGCTTCCCGAAGTCGGGAGTAAAACGACGCCACCGATCGCCGACGGCCTATAAAAGGACCTCGGCAAGCCGAGCCCGGCCTCTTCTCTCGGAATACCAGCTACAGACCAGACGTGCCACGGAGCTACATTGGAATAAAACCACGCCGCCGGCCACGTGCCCAAAAATGGAGTTGGAGTAAACTATTGGTGAGCTGGCCAAGGGCCAACCCCTGCGGGGTGGGGGAACTTCGAGTGCGTTTAGGCTAGGAATTGATAGGGAACAGTTAGGAAGTTAGAAGACTGTAAATCTCTGGACATAGAAACGAACCCAACGGCGGAATATTATTTACCCTCTTGGCGCCCCTTATTTCTGGAGAGCAAGGGCCACCGGCACATGGCCAGCGTGGTCGGCAACCATTCGCTTCTCCTTTCTTAGAGGAGGGGCCGGTACCCCCGGCATGCGGGATCGGTCTTCTTCCTGGTTAGGTGTCCACATTTTCTCTCCCAAAGCGGCGAAGCGGTACTCGGCCTGCGGGACCGTCTCCCCGTTTTGGAGCCCTTTTCCCCCGACACCCAGGGCGACCGGCACATGGTTTTTGCGTGGCTGGTGGCCCTCACCCGGATCCGTTTGTTCGGACAGATCGGGGAAACTGGATCTCGGCTTGCGGGACCGGTCTCCTCCGATTCCGGACGATTCCCCACCTCATTCGGACCCCGTTTGTTCGGACATATCGGAGAAACTGGATCTCGGCTTGCGGGACCGGTCTCCTCCGATGTCCGGGCGGCCCCATCTCACCCAGAGGCGGCGGGGCGGTACTCGGCCTGCGGGATCAACTCGCCGTTTCGACATCCCTTCTCGGGAACCCAGGGCGGCCGGCACATGGCATGCGTGGCCGGCAGCTCTCACTTCGGGGCCACTCATTCGGAGATCAGGGAACACCGGTACCCCGGCTTTGCGGGATCGGTCCGACTTCGGAAGATGCGCCCTCGTCCCGGATCTGGCAATCGGACTACGGCTTGCGGAGCCGGTTGCCCGGATTTCGGGAGTTTTCCTGACCATCGCCTGCCCCTTTTCGCACCCTAATAAACATACCGGCCTTCGGGCCCGTCCTTTCTCCTGCCTGTCTCCGTAAAATTATAAATATTTTCTGTAGAGGACTCCTGGGCCGACTGAGTTATTATCCTGGCCATAGCATCCTTATAAGTTGTACAGAATTTAAGCGTAGACAAGAGTTTGTAGTTATCTTTGGTCCCCCGTTCTCACATCACTAGATTGCGCGCACACACACACATACACCTACACTACTCAGTTTTGTTTACTCACAGTGATTAGACGTGTTTTTCCGAGCTCCAAAAGAAAAATATTGTAGACAGCTCGAAAGACCCTAAAAAGGTGACATTACTACTTGTGAGACAACTGGGGAAAGGTACGTACCAGAATCGACCCCGGCTGGCTATCCGGGCTCCTCGAACCTAGGCACCTGGAACCGCCATTGGAACCCGTGGGCAAGGGGGGGACTCTCTCCTGTCCAGCGAGCGGCTCTATTTCCCACGAACGCTCTCACAGCTTGGAATAGTTTCCACACTCCACTTTTTCCCTCGCGTTTTTCCTTCTAGGCGCAACACACGATCAGCTGATCATAGTGTTGTGCAGCGCATGCGCAGCGAGCTTTCGCACCCGCGCAGTATTGGAAAACGCGAGCAGACAAATTCCCGCCATAGCCAGAACTTAAATTTAGATTTGGATTTGAATTTGGATCTGAATTTGAACTTGAATTTGAATTTGGACTTTAAATTTTGAATTTTGAACTTTGAGTTTTGAACTTTAGATTTTGAATTTTTAAATTTTAAATTTTAAATTCTAAATTCTAAATTTTGGATTTTAAATTTTGAATATTGAATTTTAAATTTTGGATTTTGAGTCTTGGGTTTGGAATTTTTAATTTTGAATTTTAAATTGTGAATTTTGAATCTTGGGTTTTGAATTTTGAATTTTAAATTTTGAATTCTAAATTTTTAATTTCGAATTTTAAATTTTGAATTTTGAATTTTAAATTTTAAATTTTGAATTTTGGATTTTAAATTTTAAATTTCAAATTTTAAATTTTAAATTTTGGACTCTAAATTTTAAATTTTGAATTTTGTATTTTGGGCTTTAAATTTCTAATCTTGAGTTTTGAACTATAAATCTTAAATTTTGAATTTCGAGTTTGAATTTTGAATTTTAAGTTTGAATTTGAGTTTAGGTCTGAATTTGGGTTTGGGTTTGGGTTTGGATTTGAATTCGGGTTCAAATCTAAATTTAAGACCTGATTTGATTTGGATCCAAGGTGTAAATCAAGCTTGGATTTGTGTCTGAATTGGGCTTAGGAATTGTCATCCACATGTAACGTCCTGTCGTCCACGGGTAGTCAGCGGGACGTCCAGGGTCTGTGCAGATACATTTATTTGGTTCAGGCGTGGTTGCTGTAAGAGATTCCGACCCCGTCCCAGAGTAGAACGCTAGAGGATTATGCCGTAAATGTATCTTAATGTTTATTTACTTCAAAGGTACAATAATAATTCAATAATTTCATGCCGGATCTCGATTCTGGGGTACGCCGTAGTTCCGATTCGTCCTCGTCCCGAGTACGCCTGTCCGATAGGGGAATGCCGATAGTCCCGCCAGGGTATGGGCCTTTAAAGCCACCCAATAGCGAATGCGTTCGGACTCGAAAGTCAACCACGAGAGAATGCGTTCGGACTCGAAAGTCAACCGAACCCAGTAGTTGTCGGACTCGACAGTCAGCTCAGCGCCGTTTGTTGGACTCGAAAGTCAGCTCGGAGAAGTTCGGACTCGAAAGTCAGCTCGAAGACGTTTGGACTCGAAAGTCTGCAGATTCGGACTCGAAAGTCAGCAGAGACGTTTGGACTCGAAAGTCTGCCGATTCGGACTCGAAAGTCAGCCGAGAGAAGTGGACTCGAAAGTCGGCAGTGTTTCGGACTCGAAAGTCGGCAGATTCGGACTCGAAAGTCAGCCGAGAGAAGTGGACTCGCAAGTCGGCAGTGTTTTGGACTCGAAAGTCGTCAGATTGGACTCGCAAGTCAGCAGAGATCCTAACTACAATTTATAAATAGGAACCAGAGTTCCCAAAAAGTGACTTCGCTGCTAACTACTGGGGAGGTCAACTCGACCCAATCGCAGTCGGCTGCTAAGTGCCTACTCCAGGGCCGTGGTCCGCTTTATATAGGCCCTGGCGAGGCTTCAGTGTGGCCA